AACATGCTCTTTGGGAACCAAAGTAGTTATTAGGGTACCTGGCACATACCAGGTGTTCAGTAAATGTCAGTTCGCTCTCCAGACAGTCAATGGTCGCTAAGGAACAAAAAATACAATGCAGGACCTGCCCTCATTGAGAGGCTTAGGCTCCAGTCACAAATCTCTCCTTAAGCGGAAAAGCTACTCCCATGTCTGTCCTTATGGTTTTATTTCCACTTCATTGATAGGCTCAAAAGAATCAAAGTGAAAAGTGAGCCCAGGGGCGCCTGGGTGGCTCAGTCGGTTAAGCGTCTGCCTTTGGCTCAGGTCATGATCCCAGGGTCCTGTGATAGAGTCCCACATCAGGTTCCTTGCTCAGCAGGAAGCCCGCTTCTCCCTCTCCCTCTGCTGTTCCCCTGCTTGCACTCTCTCTCTGTGTCAAATAAATAAATAAGTAAAATCTTTTAAAAAAATAAAATTAAATTTTTAAAAAGTGAGCCCAAAGCATCCCTGATAATAAGATAACAATTATAGGGTGCTTTATAGTTCTTTACATAGTTGTGTGTGTGTTTATGTGCATGTGTGCACATGTATCTATGGAGAGGTTAACAGCAGATCCTCATGAGTAACTACTGTAAACACGTGACCAGGATACGTCTATCAGAAATATTTTGTGTACTCTGGCAATTCCATTAAACCTGCCACACACCAGGTCACCTGCCTTTCCAAAGTTACAGAGGAAAGAAAATTCTGTTAAACCTTAGAGGGATTTACATGGGCAGGACTGCAGAAGTGAGCAGGAGGGTGTTTTCTTCAAGTTGAAGGAGCTGAGAAAAAAAAATAAAATAAAATCCCATGGTAGCAATCAGATCGTTGGTACGGAAGATCGGAAGATCGAGTGAGTCAAGGCGGGTCCTCAGCAAGCAGGTACTAAGCTAGGATTGGCCACACCTTCAGGAATCAGAATAGCATTCTGTGATCCAAGGAGGAAGGAATGCGTCCTCTCAGGAAGCTGGGTGAGGCAAGGCTGTCATTACGGCAATCTGGGCACAGCTATGGTTACGGACAGGCCAACCTGTCGGCATGAAAACAGAAATCCGTAGCACCGGCGGCCACGTAGTGAGCTTTCCCATGCTAACCTTGTGTCCAAAGAGCATATCTGGGCAGTTACATGACCTTAAGTCTTTATGGGGAAAGTACCTAATAATAAAAATAATAATTTTATTTTTATAAAGATGTTATTTGACAGAGAGATAGGGAGCACAAGCACGGGGAGCAGCAGGCAGAGGGGGAGGGAGAAGCAGACTCCCCGCTGAGCAGGGAGCCCGACGTGAGGCTCGATCCCAGGACTCTGGGATCATGACCTGAGCTGAAGGCAGACACTTAACGACTGAGCCACCCAGGCGCCCCAAATATAATAATAATTTTAAAGTGTTGCTGAGTGAGCTGCAGTATTACCTGAGCTAATCAATCCTTGCTCTCTTGCTTATCGATTATGATGAAATGTTTTTTTTTGAGAGAATTTTTATATAACCAAGAGAGACACATTAATTGCAGAGAACTTAGAAACTCCATGTAAATACTCAGAAGAAAATTATAATCATTTATAATCTCATCACCAATATATAACAAACCTTTACATTTTATTGTATAATTCTTCAAATTTTCATATATATATATATAATCATGATGTACACTCCTTTGTCACTTGATTTCTTCCCCCAATCAAATAGAACATACATCTCTTCATGTCACTAAAAATACTTCTACAGCATCATGCTTTGTGCCTGCAGGGCACTCCATTGCATGGTACTTTTATTAATTATTTAATCAGTTTCCTGTTACACATTTACTTGCTTCCAAATATGACTATTGTAAATGCCATAGTAAACCTACTTATTCATGTCTTTCCAAACATTATTTCCCTACGTTCTTCCTTTAAACGGAATTGTTGAGTCAAGGGGTTTTTATATATTTATGGCTTATATATATTGCCAATAGCCTTGCCCTACAGCTAAGTCCCCACCACCATTCACATCATTACATCATCACCTGTATGAATGTTCTTTTCTCCTCTCATTCTCTTTTTTTAAGATGTGTTTATTTGAGAGACCATGTGCACACACACGTAAGCATGGGGGGGGCAGGCAGAGGGAGAGAGAGAGAGTCTTAAGGAGACCCCCCCGCTGAGCGTGGAACCCCACAAGGGGCTCAATCTCAGGATCCTGAGATCACGACCTGAGCTGAAACCAAGAGTTGGAGGCTCAGCCAACTGAGCCACCCAGGCGCCCCTTCTCTCATTCTTACCTACGATTGGTTTTAACCTGATATCTAACAAATTTAACAGTACTATAAAAAACACTGATGTTTTTTATTTCTTAAATTTTTAGTGATGCTGAATATTATTTCACATGTGCATTCATTTCCTAGGGCTCCTGTAACAAAGCACAACAAATTGGGTGGCCTAAAACAACAGAAATGTCTCACAGTTCTGGAGGCCAGAAGTCCAAAGTCAAGGTGACAAGATTTGTCCAGGTCCAGCTCTGCCTCTCTACTTTCAGGCTCTGTGCTTCTCCCCAATGCTGAGAGATCATTAGGTAGCTCCTATCTTGGGCCATGGGAAAGAGATATTCTCAGGCTTCCTGAGGCCCTCTCTACCTGGACCTACCATGCAGTCATCTCTCTGGATTCTGGTCACCATCGTAGGGTTCTACAAAGTTAGATGTGTCCCCTCAGCTCTTGGATTGCTTCACCATCTGGGGTTTTACCAGCCCCCATCCCAGGACTTACTCGAGTGGTTCCATTTGTATTATAATTTCAGTCTTCTCCCTAACATTGATCATTAGCCACATGCTACGTTTCCCTTTATTTGTACATAATGACATGAAAGTACTTATAATTTAAAAGCAAGATATCAAAATGCAGCACAACTAGAAGTAGACTGGAGTCCTGGAGCTGCCGCATGAGCTGAACTTCAGCTGATTTATGAGAAATAAATGTTTATCGTGTTCGATCCAAAAAATTTAAGAAAAATGCCAACAATGGCATTTAAAATAGTAGGGTAGTATTTATGGATTTAAAATTTTTAATTTCTCTATTATTGCTTTTGTCTGGTTTCCAAATATTTTTGATTAATTACTTCTATAACAAAATAAATTATTCATTCATTAGACAAACCTTTAATAACGGGTTAGTATACGCCAGACACTAAGCAAAGAATTTAGGAAGAACGATGAAAAAGATAAACGTGGTCCTTGTCCTCGAAGAGGTTTTACTCTAGAAAAAAAGAAAAAAGAACACAGGACAAGTAATGAGTAGTAGTGATGAGCACTGTCACAGGTAAGTACGGGATGCTAAGGGAATGCATGACAGAGGAGCATATGGGAGTGGGGAAGTAGGCAGTCAGAAAAGTCTTTGAGGTCCTAAAGCAAGTTTCAACAAATTTCAAAAGACAGAGTATGTTTGGTAACCGTAATTCAGTCGCCTCTCCGATTGATAGGAAAAGTTATCTTCGGGGCACCTGGGTGGCTCAGTCGTTGAGCATCTGCCTTCGGCTCAGTTCATGATGCCAGGGTCCTGGGATCGAGCCCCGCATCGGGCTCCCTGCTCTGCGGGAAGCCTGCTTCTCCCTCTCCCACTCCCCTTGCTTGTGTTCCCTCTCTCGCTGTGTCTCTGTCAAATAAATAAAAATCTTAAAAAATAAGTTATCTTAAAAATATCCATATGCTTGGAAATTAAGAGGTGCCTTTCTAAATAATCCATGAATCAAAGAAGAATTTGTAATGGAAATTAGAAAATGTTTGAACATACTATATTCAAAACTTGTGAGAGTAGCTAAAGCAGTGTAAGAGGGACACAACCTTAAAAACACATGTACAATTGACCCCTGAACAATATGGGTTTGAACTGCACCTGTCACTTAAATAGGGATTTTTTTCAATAAATACAGTACAGTAGTATAAATGTATTTTCTTATGATTTTCTTAATATTTTCTTTTCTCTAGCTTACTTTATTATAAGAATATAGTATATAATATATAAAACATGCAAAATATATTAATCGACTGTTATCAGTAAGGCTTCTGGTCAACAGTAAGCTATTAGTTTAAGTTTGGGGGGATTCAAGAGTTATATGGGGAGCACCTGGGTGGCTCAGTCGTTAAGCATCTGCCTGCCTTTGGCTCAGGTCATGATCCCAGGGCGTCCGGGTCCCTGCTTAGCGGGAAGCCTGCTTCTCCCTCTCCCACTCCCCCTGCTTGTGTTCCCTCCCTCGCTGTCTCTCTGTCGAATAAATAAAATCTTTAAAAAAAAAAAAAAAGTTATGTGGGGATCTTCCACTGGGGTGGGGGTCAGGGCCCCTAATCCCACATTAACCCCACATTGTCCAAGGGTCGACTGTACATACATATATGAAATTACGGAGAGGGAAAATTTAATCTGTAGTAACAGCAGATCAGTGGTTGCCTGGGGTCAGGGTGGGGGAGTAGGGGGAGAAAGGGTGGAGATTGACTACGAAAGGGCAAGGTTTGTTAAAACTCCCAGAGCTATATACTTAAGATCTGCGCTTTGATCTGGATGTTAATCAGATTAAATATTTTTTAAGACTGAAGGAAGACAGGAAAGGAGAGAGAAGACAGTGAGTCCCAGCGCCCCCTCCAGCCCCATAGGGGCTCAGGCTTAGCCGGGCGTGCGGGGCGTGGCCACGAGGGGAGGAGGGGCAGACGCCTGAGAGCCCGATGGGGAGGCGGGGCGCGGGGCGCGGCAGGCGCCGGCAGTTCTTCCTCTCCGACGCCAGGCGGCGGCGTGGGCGGGGAAGCGTGGCAGTGACCCGGGCAGCCGCAGCAAGAGGGCGGGCCGAGCGCGGGACTCCATGTGGGCGCCGGCGCGGAGTGGGTGAGGCGCGGGGTCGCCATGGCGGAGATGCAGCAGCTGCGGGTACAGGAGGCGGTGGACTCCATGGTGAAGAGTCTGGAGAGAGAGAACATCAGGAAGATGCAGGTAGCGGGCGGGGGTCATGGCGCGGAGTCCCGGCAGTCCGCGATTCCCTTCTCGCAGCCGCGGTGCGCTGCTGCCCGCCTCCCTGCAGACCCGAGTCGGGGCGTCCCTGGGGTCGCCGCGGCCCCCTCGGAAGCACCTCTCACCCTCAACTCGTGGAGCTTCCGCCGAGCGAATGAAATCTGTGCTCCCTCCCCACGCGCGAAGCCATTTTCCCCCCAGGCCAGCTCCGGGGAGGGGCTGTTAGACCCTGGACCAGCGTTAGAAAGCCCCTAGTGCGAGGCGTTCGGCCTCCCCCGCCTTCCTGTCTTGTGCTGCCCCTTCCGCAGGTGAGCGGACCGAGGCCCAGAAAGGGCACGGCCAAGGTGAAACACCGGAAAGGCAAAAGCGCTTGGCTTCCTCAGTGGCCGTGTCATGCCCGTTTTAGTGTCTGCTCCACACAGTGCTGCTTTATTTGCCGTTGTGCTTTGATCCCCTAAATGGTATGTGGCTCTTGGTCCTGCCTCTCTTACAAAATTGTGGGGTTTCTGTTGTAGTGCTTCTTGGGTCATTGATAATGGATCGGTTGCCCCCTGGTGGAAAGTACATTACTAGGTTGCTGACCTCTGAACCCTGTGGTATAGGTACCTGATTTTCAGAATTTGACTTCATCAGACCCACCTCCACCTTCTCCGTCCACCCCAGCCTTCGATGCACCAAGTGCCAATGAGCTAGCAGCAAAAAGGCCGTGAAATCTTCTGCTGGGCTTCGGGGATAATTTTCCCATTTGTGGTTTTAGGTTCTTGGTGCCTGTTAGGAGAGATGCAAATATAGATGCTCCTCTGTTGCACTCCATGGTTATCTCTGCCCCAGAGGCTTTCCTGCCTAACCTCTCTCTCTCTGCCCTCCCTCCCCAGGGCCTCATGTTCCGGTGCAGTGCCAGCTGCTGTGAGGACAGCCAGGCCTCCATGCAGCAGGTGCATCAGTGCATTGAACGCTGCCACGCGCCTCTGGCTCAAGCTCAGGCCTTGGTGACCAGTGAGTTGGAGAAGTTCCAGGTGAGAAATATCCCAAGCAGAGGATGTCAGGCCTTGGTGTTGCTCTTTATTTGTTCAAAACTCTTGGCTCTAATATCTTGGTTCTTTTAACATTTGTGACAGTCCTGTGGCCAGCCAGTCTTCACAGGGTTTGAAATTTGGGGGAAAACTCCTGGAGGTTGAGTGCTATAAGTATTCCCCATAGAAGAAATGATGTAAAAAGGAGTTCATGACCAAGAGCCTTTTCCATGACCATAGACACGAAATAGATTTACCGTATAGTATAAAGCTTTCTAAGACACATATTAATTCATTCTTAGACTAGTAGAATCCCCAGGAAAGTGGAGTAGGCTAGTCATAAAGAGGTGCAGATTAGCACAATATCCTGCCGTCATGTTGTGGACTTGCCCACCCAGAACCACCCCTGTTTGCTATACCTAGAGGGCAGCTCCTGTGTCACTAAAGAACAGTCATTTATATGAAGTATTAGTAATACTGACTCATTGATGTCTTCCTCACAAGCCCCTCTGAGGTCACTAAGAGCAAAAGGTATCCACCGGATCTCTTTCGGGAGAAAAGGGTAGCCACAACTTCATTTTATTCCCTTCCTATGACTGTACCTTCCTGGAGCCAGAGAAAGCAGAGCCCACTTCTGAACCAGTTTTTCATAGCCTGAGATCCTGTTCACATGGGACAAATTGTATCTAATATACAATTTTTACATTCTGCTCTACGGAATTCTTCAAAATTACTGACACTGTGAAGGACAAACTTATCCAATTTCCTGAACCCACAGAGGTTTCTTTGTGTTCATTTTGACAGCTAATTTTCACGATAGGGTCTTTGACATTTTGATTCTTGAATTGCTATATAACTTTTTCCTTCTATTCACTTTGTAGTCCTCTCTAATTAGACTTACTCTTCTACTCCGCCAGAGCTGTGCTGGCCACTCCCCTCTGTGGAGCTAAATCCGGTGGTCATTTCTCATCCCTTATCTTACTCAGCCTGTCTGCATCGCTGACGCAGTGATCACTTGCCTCCTGAAACAGTTTGTTCAGTTGGGCACCAAGACACCTCACTCTGTGGTTTCCCACCTCTCTCCCTGGCTGTCCTTTCTTGGTCTCCTTTCCTGCTCTTCCCCTCCAGCCTGTGAGCATCGGAGTGCTAGCGCTGTCCTTGGGCCTTTTTTGATTTAATTCTCTAGTCTCATAGCTACAAATATCTGTAATAAATATCGTCTATAGGCTGACAACTCCTACATTCATTCGTATCTGTAGACCAGATTCACTCAGATTCATATATCTAACTGCTTCTTCAACATCTCCCCCCATTTTGTCTAATTCCCCTCATTGGAATGTAAGTTCTATGAGGGCAAGAACTTTATGTTTTACTCATTGCTGTATTCCCCAGCATTAGAAGAGTACCTGACACATAGTAGATACTCAATAAATATTTTTTGAGCGTTTTTCTGTAGCAAGGACAGACATTAAAGAATCAAAATGTAAGTCTTAACTATAGTTGACCAACGGTAGCTTCTAGTTACTTCCCTCTTCTGCAGGGGGCTTCTGTATAATTTATTCTATCATTCATTGCTTTCTTGTCATGCTTTGTCTGGACCCTCCTGGTGCCACCCTCTATTTCAGTCAGGATAATCTTGATTAATTGCACTATAGTGTCCCTTTAATTGATCAAGATTATATATGTGAGGCCAAAATATGTAGAAAGGGGCCTAGCACATGGTAAGCACTTGGTAAATGGAGGCCAGCCTTTCAGCCTTCTCTGCCCTCTTCCTTCTTGCCACAGGACCGCCTGGCCCGATGCACCATGCATTGCAATGACAAAGCCAAAGATTCAATAGATGCGGGAAGTAAAGAGCTTCAGGTGAAACGGCAGCTGGAGAGTTGTGTGACCAAGTGTGTGGATGACCACATGCACCTCATCCCGACCATGACCAAGAAGATGAAGGAGTCTCTCTTGTCCATTGGGAAATAGAAGTCCTCGCAATTGGCCATCGAGGCTGACCAGCAGGAATCTATTTAAAAAGAAATGGGAGTTTTGGTCTTTTAAGTGAAGTTTATGAAGAAATTAAGGATGGCAGCAAGTGTGAGGCATGTGTCACTTGCCTCTGGATACTGGTTCCTTTATGTTTCAACCCTAGAAAGTGAAATGGAAAAAACTGGTGCTAAAATTTGGGTTAGAGATGGTCACAGGAAAGTTTTTGATAGCCTAAATTTCATGTGCTTGTCCTGGCTCAAGGGATTCCTTGTACCAAGCCAGAGCCCTCCAAGATACCAGATTGTTCTCAGTACACAGCTACCAGCAGGCTGGCAGGTTCCTCTAACCTGCCTATGATTTGGTGGTATAAGCAGAGGTGTTTCTGTTTGTTGCCAACCTCCTGTTTACCAGAAGGATCATCAAATCGTTTTCTATAAGCTGTAAAACAAAATCCACGAGGTTACTAATTTAGAAGGGAAAAAAGATTTCTGGGTCTTTGTTTTGCTTGGTTTTGTTTTATATACAAGGGCATGAAGTTGATTTAAGATGTGGAGTTGGGAGAGTCAGATAAGAACTTTGAACAGTTCTTGTGGATATCTGTTCCTGGCCATCAAGATGTGGATATACATTTCTTGAAATATATATTATATCTTTCAGCTAGGAGACCCTGTTAAAACATGACAAGCGATGTTACACTGGGTATGGGAAGCGGACTTTCCCTCTCACTGGCTGCCATGATGGGCCCTGAGGCTATCTGCAGAAGAGCAACAAGACAATCTCGGAAGTGACACTCTCCCTTGAAGGGAAAGGGGGTTTTTATTGCACTATATACCAGTATCCAGGAATGAACATTGAAGGAGGAACTGTTGTCTTCTTAATTATGAGAGTTATTAAATACTGGATGTGGAAAAACCTGATTTTTATAGAACAGAATGGAATGAAGGCCTAAACTCAGTATTGCTTATTTTGCCCCCTGAAATAACAGAGCCCTATTGAGACAATCCCTTGGCAACAGGAAGGTCAATGGAGAAAAAGTAGGCAATCAGGGGTGAGCTGTGATTCCTTTAAAGGAAAAGAGGGGCAACCCCCTATTACCAAATACCACTTTTGCCTGGGGCCTTTGCAGCAAGCAGTGTTCCTGCCCCAGCTCTAGCACCTTTTCATTTTGATAAGGACCTTACTGTCTTTTTACCAGCTTATTACTTGAAATGATAATATAGCCTGTGTTTGGTGTTTCAAGGCTGTGATATATTTTCCTAGTGGTTCAGTTTTAAAAAATAAAGGTTTAGTTTTTCCTCCACTAAGATGTTTCTTATGTCTGGGTAGTGAATATATAACTTTCTTAGGATGCTTCTCTTTGTAGTGTGTGAAATAAGTTTCTTAAGAGGTCATGAAGAGTAAAAATTATTTATGAACTATGATTCAAATGCAGGACTGGTTCGTTGTAAATGGGAAGAACTGAGGGCAGGCTACATTCATTAAAAAAAAAAAAAAAAAACTAAGGCTAAAAAAATTCAGTATCCATTTCAGGACTCTAGCTTCAACTAAACACTAACAGCAAGATGGAAAGGGTAATTAATGATCCCTCTTGAGAAAAATGCAACATCTAGGATTTTGAGTGTCAAGAGAGTATAAACTATGTGATGAGTTTAATTAAGTCTTTACTATCATTAGTAAATAGAGCCATTCCTGAACATTAGGAATGAATGGAATTATGGAGACTCGTCCCCTACTTAGAATCACCAAGGCTTTACTATTTTGGCCTAAGTCTTCTATAATCCCAATTTGTATTTTATTCATACATATGTATTCGCCTTTTTTTTGGGTAACTTAAGTGGGAACAAATCGGAGATCACTTTACACTTGAGTTGATTTTCAAGTCAAGAGTATCTCATTAGAGATCGTTCACGTTTTTTATATAGGAGCAAGGCACATCAAGTAGGGTTCTGGAGGCAGTGTTACAAGAATTGGAGGACTGTCAATAGGTAATCCACTTCCGCGCTCTAGATTCAAATTCTTTTTTTTTTAAAGATTTTATTGATTTATTTGAGAGAGAGAGAGAACGAGAGATAGAAAGCACGAGAGGGAAGAGGGTCAGAGGGAGAAGCAGACTCCCCGCTGAGCAGGAAGCCCAATGTGGGACTCGATCCCGGGACTCCAGGATCATGACCTGAGCCGAAGGCAGTCGCTCAACCAACTGAGCCACCCAGGCGCCCCTCTAGATTCAAATTCTTAGAAACGCTACATCACCCTACTTCTCTGGTGTCCAAAGGTCACTAATTGATGTTACTGGAACGCTAGGCTTAGCGTGACAATATGCGGGAATACATGCCAAAGAACTATTAGAGGCCCACTACTCCAGAACCTATATTCACTTAATATATGAAGAAGGCAACCAAGGCAGTGCACAAAAAGGGATAAGCCGGTCTCGCCTAGAAACTAGAGACCAAGCTGCTATGTCAATTTTACAAACGAGGAAACGGAACTGAGAAGACGACTGGCCCCACCCCTAACCCTATCTTGGCCAATCGCTGGTGACGCAATCGGAAACACGAGACCGATAAATTCAGGCGCCCCCAAAGTATCGCGAGGTAAAATGTGAAATCAGCCGACATTTGATTGGCTGGCGGGATCGGTGACGTCAGACGCGAAACGCCGGGCTTACCGGGGGAACGTGTGGGACGCCACGAATTCCGTTTGGAGGCATCTTTGAGCTCGCGCAGTAGACACCATGAGCAAAGCTCACCCTCCCGAGTTGAAAAAGTAAGTATGTGAGAGGGCCGCGTCCAAGTGGCAGCTTCTTTGCGTGCTTTGAGTTCCTTAGGTCCTCTCCATTTCCTGCAGTGTGCCTGACGTGCATGTTCCGGCACGAGGCCGCCGAGAACGCCAAAGGGTCTCGCGCCTGGGCGCCTAAAGCCCGCGCCGACGTCTCGTTTCGGCTTGGTTGACATGGCATGGTTACTAGTGACAGAAAAGGTGTGTCTATTCTGCTGTCTCGCCTTCCTGGGTGCATCTCCCGACCCCACGTCTCTCAACGCGCTCCCTCTCGCTCTTTCTCCTTACTTGGAGATCCTGGAATGCCATCCTTTGTTGAACTTCTTGAATAGCGTTAAATTCTAGATAAAGTGGCTTGAGAGTAATTCTATAAAGAACTAAGAAGATGGGCGGAATGGAAGTGTTTAATAGTAGATGAGTCAAAAGCCACCTTAATCTTAGAGTGTGTTGTAGCTGTTTCTTTGAGCTTTAATTTAGAAATCCCATTCCTTTCTTTTGCTTTCTTGTGCTGAAGTTAAACTTGAATGTTATGTGATCTCTCGCTCTATTAACAGAGCTGTTTGAGAACGTTCATTTTTTTAATCAGAGAAAACTAGGGATTTTTTTTTCTGCACCCAGTAAAATCCACTCAAAACAGGATTTTCCTACTTTAAAGCTTTAACCTCCGCACTCGTGACTGAACTTAATATGTTCGATGCCTCCTAATTATTTGTCTGTCTCGTTTATACCATGTAATGCCAGAATTCTGCGCACGGTAGTTGGATAGCACAAAGTATGAAAAATTGATTTCAGGAATCGATTTGTGAAACAGCCAGCTGGCCTGTGTATAGTTCACTTATTACCAGCCTCATGGAGAAGTCAGACTTAAAGAAAAGGTTGTATTTAGTAATTTTACATTTAGGGGCACTTAGGTGGCACACTTGGGTTCAGCTCAGATTGTGATTGCAGGGTGGTGAGATCAGCCCCATGTGGAGCTCTCAGCTCTTGCTTAGTGTTTATCTCTCCCACTGCCCCTCCCCACTGGTCTCTCTCAAAAAAATGAATCTTTAAAAAAAAATAATTTTACATTTAAAGGTACATCTGTATCAAAGCCATTTTTTGTGTTTTAGTTGGATCCCTTAAAGAATTATTAATCATAAGTCTAACATTAAGAAAAGTAGAAATTATTTTGAAAATGCTGATCTAAAACATTCTTTTATTGATGAGCTGGTAAAATCTTAGAAGTATTCTCTGGATTCTTAAAGAACTGGTGAAATGCTAATTATTTTTTAACAAAAGAACATTGTCTACTTGTAATCTTGGACTTTCTTTTTTGTTTCTTAACAGATTCTTTTTTTTCTTAACAGATATTTGAGAATCTCAGAGAACGAACCTAGTTTTAATATTTTTCTCATCTCTAGATTTCATGTATTGTAAAATCCTTTGAGACCTGCCTCCAAAATGACCTTCAGATTTTTTTTTCCTTTACTTTCTCACAGATATTTTTTACTCTTTATACCCTCCTCCTGGTTTAGCTTAACTCATCGTTATTGACTGGGAGGGAGGGAGTCTGGTTCTACTGGCAGGGATCTAGTAAGTAGAAGCTGGGGATGCTGCTAAACATTGTACAGTGCACTGGACATCGTTCAGTAAAGAATTATGTGACTCCAGATGTTAATACGCCAAGGTTTAGATATCTAAACCTACCCAGATTCTCCATCCCGCCTCTTAAAAATCACTGCCACAGTGGTCTTGCCAATGACTGGACTTTGCCTTAATAATTTATCACTGTCTGAATGATAAAGTCTAGGCTTCTTGACACAGCATTTAAACTCTTCCATCTGAAATCTTACAAGTGCCAAATACCACACACACTAATGGAGTGCCTGCATTCTCCAGCCAAACTGAACCATTTGTGTTTGCTCAAACTTTCTCACCTCCTCTGTGACTTTTGAACAATTTACTTAATCTTCTTGATCCTCAGTTCCTCGTCTGTAAAATGGTGGTAATAACAATATATAACTTACAAAGTCATCATAAGGGTTAAATAAGTTCATGTGTGTTATATTTGCTGTGTTGTATATAATTATCCTATTAAAATGGATTATTTTATATATCATACTACATATTTTTGGTTTTTTTTTTTTTAAAAGATTTCATTTATTTATTTTAGCACACGTGAGGGGAGAGGGAGAGAGACAAACAGACTCCGTACTGAGCGCCAAGCCCTACTTAGGGGCTCCGTCTCACAACCCTGAGATCATGACCTGAGCCAAACCAAGTCAGCTGCTCAACCGAGGTGCCACCCAGGTGCCCCAGGCCTGTGTGTTAAACTTATCTCTGAATTCTCCCATTACATGTTATACATTAAAATTGCATGAAATTTCAGGGGCGCCTGGGTGACTCAGTTGGTTAAGCGTCCCACTCTTGGTTTCAGCTCAGGTCATGATCTCATGGGTGGTGAGATGGAGCCCCCTTTCGGTCTCCATGCTCAGCACGGAATCTGCTAATACTCTCTCCCTTTGCCCCTCCCCACTTGTGCACGCACGCTCTCAAATAAACTTTTAAAAATTGCATGAAATTTCATATTTTCTAGGCTGTAACTGGAAGGGGTAAAAACTGGTTTGGTTACATGGCTTAATATTTCCATAATACCCTGCTGAGATGGGATTTCCCTGTTTAATTCAGATTTTTTTAAAGCTTCAAAATATGTATTTATTTTGCTAAAAAATACTTATGTGTTGAGAAATATTTTGAACACAAGTGTGATGCTTAATATTAAAACAACACTCCTTATTGTCTCAAATATAAAATAAAATAGCTATTGAATTGGATATGATTTGATTACCTTCTAGTTTCCTCACAACTTTGGTTTTGATAATCAAAATATAAACAAATCTTTGTTTTTCTGTTATGGCTCTAAAATCCAGTCATCAAGGGGTGCCTGGCTCACTCAAGTCAGTGGAGCATATGACTCTTGATCTCAGGATTGTGAGTTAGCCTCATGTTGGGTATAGAGATTACTTTAAAAATAATTTTAAAATCTTTTTTAAGAAAATAAAATCTGGGGACGCCTGGGTGGCTCAGTCGGTTAAATGTCTGCCTTCCGCTCAGGTCGTGATCCCAGGGTCCTGGGATTGAGTCCCCTATCAGGCTCCTTCCTTGGCAGGTAGTCTGCTTTTGCCTCTGTCTGCCAGTCCCCCTGCTTGTGCCCTCTCTCGCTGTCAGAGAGACAGACAGCGAGAGAGGGAACACAAGCAGGGGGAGTTGGGAAAGGGAGAAGCAGGCTTGCCGCCGGAGCAGGGAGCCCAATGCGGGGCTTGATCCTAGGACCCTGGGATCACGACCTGAGCCGAAGGCAGACGCTTAACAACTGAGCCACCCAGGCACCCCATTAAATAAAATCTTTAAAAATAATAATAAAATCTAGTCATCAAACATTAGGTCAGTATTGAACAACAAGAATGTTTTGGTAATTCACATCATATAAAGACTTAGTTTGATGTGCATTAATATATTTTAAATTCATTCCATTTTTATTTATTA